GGCCGGGCCGGGCCGGGCCGCCCGGGAGCCGCCAGGAGCCGGGACCCGCCGCCGCTGCTGCCGGTGAGTTGCGGGGCGAGGGGACCGCAGGCCCTTTCCCTGGGGGAAACTGAGGCATTTGCATGGAAGCAAAGGGACTTGCCCAAGGCGACTCGTGGGGCTAGTGGCAGAGCCTGGCAGCGCTCTGCCCCGTGCTCCCTCTTCCCAAGAAGTCCGAGGACGAGCCCCAGTGCAAGCCAAGTCTCTTCAGCCGGACATCAAGGGGAGGCCTTGCTGGGCTCACTTGACCCCCAGTTGGCTTTCCTGCTTGGTGCGGGGGGGGGGGCGGCCCGATGATCCTGCGAGGTCCCTTCCGGCCTTGCCGTGTACAAAGCCACCCGCTCCTTCCCCGAGCAGGGACAGGCATGACCGCTGCGGCTTCGCTTGTGGGAGCAGAGCGGCGTTGGGATGCCCGAGGGCGAAGGGCGCTCGTGCATTTTGACACCGCTGACTGGGGAGCCAAGAGCCCTCATCGAGGTGGCAGGGGCTGCGTCAGCTTCCCCCCTTGTCCCTTCCCTGCTCCTCATGTGAGGAGGGCTGCTTTAAATCCAGCTGCCCACCGACTGCTCCCTGGCTGAACTGACAGTCAGGACTTGGTAGAGGTGATATCTTTTATTAAACCCACAAGATTTTTGCAAAAAAAAAAAAAAATTCTGTAATTGCAAGCTTTTGGGCACAAATGAGCATCCTTCATTGGAGAAAAGGTTGTAAAAGTTCTGCCGGCTAGAAATGAAAGTTCATAATTCAGAGGATTTCACAGAGGAGCCAATAGAAAACTCCTCTGGCAGGCAGTTCCTAGCTGGCATGGAGCCTCTCACCTCCTGTGAGGACCTGTCATGATGCAAATTATCCTGAAACAAAGGCAGGGGCAGGCTCTCAAATTTCAGGTGGTCACAGTTGCTTCCTGCTTGGGAAAATATGAAGATTTCATTTAAAAAAAATTGGCTATAGTCTGATATCTTCCATGTGAGGCACTTTTTGTCATAGCCAGTCATGAGCGGTCCACGTGTGAGGGCGAACGCGCGTGTCCATATGCCTACACACGTGCACTTGCACATGCGCGTCATTCATATTGGCACAACCAGCAGCAGTTTTGGTTGCGTTACTGTGATATCCTGTGTCAGGTATCCAGGCTGGTTACCTGACATAGGAGGAAAAAGCATTCAGGACTCGAGGTGGAGGTGCTATCTTTTATTAGACCAGCTAGATTTTTTCCAAAAAAGTTCTGTAATTGCAAGCTTTCCGTTGTAAACACCCTTCTGACGCCTGATGAAGGGTGTGCATGCCCAAAAGCTTGCAATTCAAGAAGTTTTTTTGAAAAAATCTAGTTGGTCTAATAGAAGATATCACCTCTACCATGTGATATACTGTCACATGTTACAATCTGGAACAGAATCAGTGTGAGGTTTTTCACACAGTTGTGGAGCCTTCCCCTTCCCTCCCCTCTTCCACTTCTTCAGAGTCAACTTCTAATGTGTAAAACTCCTTATTTAAAAAAACTCGGTGAACATGGCCGTGGCCACGGGTTTGCCCTCAGACCTTTAAAGAGGCACAGGCGGGCTGACTGAACGACCAGTAAAAGAGTGCCTCAGGGCCCTGTTTACCTCTCTCGAACTGGAGAGAGCTGGGACCTCAGGGAGCAGGTTGTGCGGGGTTGTTAAGCAAGCACACTGCTGCATTTTATTTGACATGTTTCTAGCCCCTTTTGGGTGGGGATAGTGGGAGGAGAAGTGCTGAATGTGCTGCAACAGGTCCTCCAGTAGGGAGTATCTCATGTCCTTAATTAAAACCCAGCTGCAAAAAATATGGGGAGGGCTTGATCCAGCTCTCAGCAAAGCCAGTGGCACCTAAGCCAGGCCCCGAATGGGGTCTCCAGGGCAGCCGCAGGCTCTTGCATCTCCCCTGGGACTGGCGTTGGAAAGCCTGAACTCTATTTTAAAAACCGTCTGCCCGTTTGAAAGATGTTTGCAGCTGTTTTTAACCTTGTACATCTGGGAATAGGACCCAGGGAGTGGGAATGCTGGTGCTTGGGTTTTAGTCTCTGCTCTGCCACACACTTGTTATGTAGCCATAGGCGAGTCATTTAGCTTCTGGTGCCTCAACTTCCATCTGTGTTCAGTGGGGATAAAAGTACCCCCCTGCCATCTGGGAGGCATTTTGGTTATAGGTGATGAAGCTCTTTGAGATCCTGGAACAGAGAAGGGCAATAGAGAAAGGGATTTTTTTTGTGTGTGCATGTGAAACTGTGGGTGAGGCTGGCAGGTGAACAGGCAATAGGAGTTGAAAGCTGTGAAAATGCTTGGAGCTCCACGTAGTTGGAAGGGAAGGAGCAACCTGAGATGACTGGTATCTGTTTTAAATGCAGATGCAAATATGTGCTCTGACCCGAACTCTCTGCTCCACTTTCTGAGCAACCTGCCCAAGGTCCTTTCCTGTGTCCAGGATGGCAACTCCCTGTTGGATCATGTGAGCAGGATATTGTCTTTAACTCGTGCTGCTGGAAACGTGGATTTAATTTGCCTTCTCCAAAAGGGGGTTACGGATGGAAATAACCAAGATACATGTTATAAAAAGGGCTTGAGATGAAGCCCGTTGCAGCCTATGGGAAGGCACCCGTTGATTTTTACTGGGCTTTAGAATAGCTCTGATCTTGCAAATACGCCCAGGGCTTGTCTGTATTACAGGGCTGTTTGCACCAGAGCTGTGCGGGCATGGCTGTGGCAACACAGCAAGTTAGCTGAGATGCAACAGATGGTGGCAGAAGGGATCGTCTGCTGACGTATCTGCGCCGCCTCCCTGATTGGCATCTGCTGTGTCAGTAAAAGCCTGAGCCACGATCACACTGGGCAGTTTGGCCAGCATAGCTGTACGCAATCGCTTCATGGCCCTAGCAGGCATAGCTGCGGTGGCAGTTCTCTGTAGTGCATTACCGCCCAGAGTCCCCCTGCGTGCGCCTTGTAGCAGGGATCGCAGAGCACAGGGGGAGGGCAAGGAGCCACGTACTGATACGTTAGATGCCAAGAGCACCAAGGGCAACATTTCATTGTCCGGTCTTGGCTTGTCTGACAACAAGTCCAAGGCTTTGAGACTAAAGCTGTTGTTTCATGGGATCAAAAGCCTCTTCCTCTAACCCCATGGGGCCCAGCTATTTTGGCAGCATGCCACAAATTAGCCATGCACCTGCCTGGAGTGCCATTCCCTTTCCCCTGCCTGACCTGCTGCTCTGCTGTCCGCTCCTTACCCTTTCTGCCGCTGTACTGTTCTCTCCCTGGGCTGCTGCATGCCACCTGCAGAGGCTACCCCCGTCACTTGTGGCATGTGTGTCGCATGCTGGCCACCCCTTCTCCCGCCTCTGTATTGACTTGGCTCACATGGATTCCCTTTCATCTTCCTCTGCGATACCGAATGCTGGTCTCTGAGCGCGAGCAGGCATCGATATGGGGAGCACTGTTGGACTGACTTGCCACAGTAGTCCCCAGACCTTGTGTTCCTGTTTGTGAGCCCTGCTTCGGCACCTTGCCTCAGGTGCGTTTGCATTTTCAGGTCGGGCAGGTGTCATCGTGAATGGCTGCTGGATCATTGGCAAAGATTTTGCATTGCCCTGATGTGACTAGCTTTCTGCTAAGTCCAGTGCTTGCCGTTCCTCTGTCACATCTGAAATTGCAGCGTGGCTGTCTCTGCCTCTTTAATTACTCTTGGCTGGCCTTGAGCTTTAAATGGGCAACCTTGTGGGATTAGGAGACGGGAATCAAGAGTCTCTCTACCCCCTAAGAGAGTGGTGGACCCTGCCATAACTTTTAAAGAGAGACTTGATTATTTTTGAGGCATGAAGTCCATCTCCGTTGCTTGCACACACGGCGATGCTGCTAAGATCCTTGTAGAGGGGGCTGGATTCTCCGCTGCCTTTACTTCGTGATCACTTCCACCTGTGAGAGGCGAGTGTTAACTGCTAATGAGTAGCCATTACCATCTGCTGTGCACAGGCAGGGATCCTCAGGAAGGTGTAAGGCTGTGGGGATGGGGCCTGGGATGTCTGTGGGCTCACCTTGTTAGCCTATGCCCATACACCTGTCTGGATGCCTTCCATAAAAGTAACTTCTGTTGTGAGGCGCAGCCCTTGAGATGGAAACACCTGCTCCAGATGTCCCCACCTGGACCTGTCCTTTGCAAAAAGTCAAAGGAGCTGGTGCAGGGCAGCTCGTAGTAAATGCAGCAGAACATCTAGCCCTGAATTAATCGCTCCCAGCGTGGTACCCGACTGGTCAGACATGGTTTCACAACCTCAGAATAATTATATTGTTTACCTAATTATTTTTCTCCAGCTGTAGCTGGCTTTTTCT